GGGGGGGGGGGTTGTTGGTCACTTGGGCCTACTAAACACCAAACCACTCCTTTGATGGTGATGCTGGGAGTGGAAAATTCAGTTTCCTTTTTCGGGGGCAACTAAACTGTATATAAATATAAAACCTGTTTTAGTGCACATTTTTAGTTTTGTGAAAGGTTACAAATGGAGCCTTTTAGATTAAACAATGTGGTAGCCCTTAGTAGCGAGTAATTAAAGTACCCTGGGCATTGTGAAAGGGGGCAAAGAGTGAGAACGTGCCCTGAGATGTGAAGAGGAATTCTCCTGCATGGTGGATCCATTAAGGAGGGTGGACTGGCCTGGGGTTACACACTTCCGGGCAGCCTTCCTAGAATTGCACTTCAAAGAGAGTCCCATTTTAAACATGTTCTCCCTTAAATGTTTACAGGAAGAGAAACACAGCCCTGATATTTATCAGGTGGGGATGGGATTTGTGTGGTGTGGTAGAAGGGGCTTTGGAGGAAGACAGGCTGGCCTGGAATGCCAACTCTGGGATCTTAAGTTTCCTCCCATGCAGGGCTATGATATGCATGGAGTGCCATGTGAGTAAACAGTCAACAAATGTTGTCAAGCAGGTGTACCAACAGATAGGTTTGTTTTACTTTACTTCATTTGCTTGTCTGCCTCTCACTATTAGATTTTAAGGCATATGTGAGAGAATTTTAGCTATTTTGTCTTTGCATTGTCCTCAGCACGTAGAACAGAGCAAGACACATAATGAGTGCTTAGCAAATATTATTTTAATTAATTTTTCATTGAGAACCTACATATGCTGAACACTATTCAAGGCTCTGGAGACACAGCAATGAACAAAATAGACAAAGCTGGACCCTCGGGGAACTTACCTTCTTTGAGGATGACTAATTTTGACTTGGGCAGAAGAAAATCAGAAGTTGAACACCTGTTATCTCAAGCTCAACATGTCCAAATCTGAACTCTTGGATTTCCCTCCCCCAAGAGGCTCCACCAGAAGCCTTCCCCCATCTTGACGAATGGCAACTCCAACTTTCTAGTTGTTCTGGCTGAAAATCATGAGTCATCTTTGAGTCTCTTTCTCTAACACCCTTTATCCAATCCTTCAAGAAAATCTGTTTGTCCTACTTTTAAAATATGTACAAAATTCAAACACTTTGCCACCGCCATTGCTCCTACTCTGGTGTGAGCCACCCTCACCTTCCCCCGGAGTAATACAGTGGCCTCCTCTCAGGTCCCCCAGCTTTTACTCGTCTCCCCTAAGGTCTGTCCTCTGTATGCAACAGTTGAGCCAATGGAAATGTATCAGGTGATGCCATTGCTCTGTTCAGTTCTACAGTAGCTTCCCATTGCGCTCAGAGTAAAACCCCACGTCGTTCAAATGACTGTCAAGACCTGCCTCAGTGACTGCCCATCCATTCCGGGGCCTGGCCGTCCCCCTCTCCTTTGCTCACCCTGCACCAGCCACGCTGGCTTCCTTCGAGCACGCAGCGGCTTGTTCCTCTATCTGGAACACACTTTCTCCGATATTCACGTAGCTAATTCCCTCATCTCCCTCAAACCTTTGATAAGATGTCACCTTCTCAATGGGACTTACCCTCACCAACATTTAAAAATTGCATGTCACCTGTGAACGCCGTGTTCCCAATGCCCCTTACCTGCCTCTTGCCTCTACTTTTTCTTTAATCTGAATCTATCTCCATCCCTTCACCTCCTCCTGCCCCCCTGGGATGTTGTCTCTTGTTTACTGTGGTATCCCCGGTGCTAAATACTGTGTGGCACTTAAGGGGTACCCAAAAAAATTTGTTGAATTGAATGATAAAAATACATTTTTGTGAGCTGGCAAAATGAAAACTCAATCTGAAAATTTCCTTAGATCACCCAAAAATAAGACGTTGGCAAACTTGCTTACTATCAGGTGCTTATGTCTAGTGTTTCCAAATAGCTTTTTTGAAAAATGAGCCAGGCATTTAGTTTTCATTGAGGGTGACAAAAGCTAAACTTTCAAATCAGCTTTTTTGGGAGCCGTGTACATACAAAACTCTTCTTTTTCAAATGTACTCCCTTTTTGCCACAGATATCACTGCAAAATAGCTGAAACTTCTGAAATTCTCTGGCCAATTAAGAAAATGTCACCTATGAGCTCAGCCAGAGAAGATAAAGAGACCTCCACTCTTTGAACATTTTTGAGCATTTTCTGAATAACTGAAAATAGCCTGGGGATGAAAGTGACTTGAGTCAGGGAAGCCCGTGGGGCGATGTCCCGGGCCTGTCTGGGGAGGCCAAGTGAAGTCCCACGCTGGGTGCTGAGAGTGTCAGCCAGTCACTAAGAAGCTGGAGAATAGAGTGGGAGTTCTCTTGGCCCTGCTGACTCTGTGTTTTGCTCTCCCTGGTGATTCGGAAATAGAATTTGTGTTTTAGTCCAAGCAATAAATAGAAGTGAAGTCCCGACTAAAACCAAACCTGGATCCTCTGAGCACTGTTCTCACCCCTGCAGGGCTGACACTCCTTGGTGTGGCTGCTGTTAAAATCACCACAAATGCTCATAGTACTTTCTGGCTTAAATGGGAACATTTAATTATTTAGCAGCTGCCAAAAAGAACATGAACTTAGAACAACATATTCGTCTTGAAGGCTTAGGAATAATGGTAAAATTTCAGATTATATCAGCTTGAAAAGCAACCTATAAATGAACCAAAGAAGGGAAAAAATGGTGCTTTATATTAAAAGCATGGGCCTTACTTGCTTATTGAGGCCACTGGTCCATCCTTAAAGTGGGAAGGCACTCGGCCACCTTGAAGCGCAGCCAAGGAGAGTAACCCTGACCTGCGCCGGAGGCCACAGGGAACTGTGTCTGTGCCGTGGGTGTGACACTGGAGGATAGGTGGCCGTGACCGTTCCCCCCCTCTCCTCCAGGGGGGATATCAGGTTCCCTGATTAAAATGAAAAGCAGGGCCGAAGTTCTCACTAGAGGAAAAGGAACAGGCACTGAAAAGAAGAGGCTTGGGATACCCCAAATCTCAAAGGCAAGTGTGGTTGCTGAAGGAAAAAAAAATTACTACATTACTGAGAATAGAGTTTTAGTTTGGGGGTGTTATCAGACAGAACAAGGAGAGATGTGGTTTTTGAGATTCAGAAGTTTACAGCCAGTCTTTTGTTAAAAACAAAATTAAATCTCCACTAGTGACAGTTGTCTCTTATTTTATAACTTTTTAAAAGCTGCACTCAAATACTGACTTTTTTAAATCACTATTGAAACTAAACATACACAGAAATTGGCAAAACTGTATCTATTATCTGTCCAAACCTGATTTAGAGTCTTATTTGTTTCTTTTGGTTAAAAACTTTTACAAATAGTAATACACTGGGAACAATGTAAATGTCTATATAGTCCTAGTCGGATAAACTGGAATACATTTAACTTTATTCAACTGGGCAACGCTAAACAACTGCTTACAAGAATGGGGTGGTTCTTTTACTACTGACAGCTAAAAATGGTTACAATATATCGAACTAATTTTGTAACCTAAAATTTCACAATATATTGAAAAAGTAAAGTAAGGTATATTGTGATGAAATGTTTAAAACATTATGTTTCTGTGAGGAAATGGTTAAGAAAGATAAAGTGGTTTTCTTTGGGTTAGTTTCACTTTTTATGCTCCTTTGTTTTGCTCGAATTTTTTAATAGTTTGTATTACTTCATAATTTAAAAATAAAGATATTATCTATATTTTAAACGCTCTTTATCAACAGTTAATGTGGCTGTGTAACTGGTAGATGGCTCCTTCTATCTTCAAAATCTTGATCCAGAAATCCTTTTGACGGAGCCCTCAAAAATAAGAGCTTAGAAAAGCAAATCATCCCTGAAAGGTTTACAGGATATCACTGACGTAACGGGCAAGGAAGGTTCTGGGAAGAAATTGACTTAAAGTAATATTATATTTTCTAAAACCAGAGTGCTGCATAAATCATTGATCAGGACAAGCCATCTTGGATAGTATTTTAAGAGGCTTTGAGCTAACTGATCAGTATTTAAGGTTCTTTGTTAGTTTTTAATATCGTCAACATTTGTCGCTTATTGGAGAAATTTTAAATGAAAACATTATTCTAAGCTTTTCTAAAATAAAATTTGTCAACTTAGATATCAAATAAGAAAAGTAGCTCTCAAAAGAATAGATGATTTGTTTTTCTTTTGGCAACATTGAATTTGTTATATCATCTTTTCAATAAAATAACCAATAAGATGTGGTTCAGGCAAATGCTGGAGGATCCATTATCAATACCCCATGGCATTATCAGAGGACAATGGGAGTGTGACTAGAGAGAGGGCTGGAACAGGTGGGATTGGACGAGGCTTTGTGATCTGGACCAACCCCTTTGTATTACAGATAAAACTAGACATGTTGGAGAGAGGGGGAGAGAATTAAACATTTTTAATTTTCAGTTGTACTACGTGTCACCCCTTCTATTACGTTCATTTCGTCCGCAGCTCCATCTGATCCCCCCAGCATCGGCTAGGCCGCCCTGTCCCACTGGGAGTTCGGGTCACCGAGTGCCAGAGTTAAGTAATGAGACGCAGACCACACGGTGGTGTGACGGAGCGAGGCTCTGAGGCCAGGCCTGTTGTCTGTTACCCACCTCAGCCCCTACTTGAGCTGCCAGCTCAGCTGATAGGTTCCTTTGTGTAAAGTTAGTCTCTGGACGTTCTCCCAGCTCTGACTCTCCTCCCGCCCGCAGACACTGTCTGGGGAGAACCCGACCCCCTCCTGGGCTGCCACAGCATCTCTCGGCGGTCACCGGCCAGCGCTGTCCTTCTCAGTCTCCTGCCGCTCTTTTGGGACTCATCAGGTGAGGCCAGATTGCCTGCTTCCCTCCAAAGAAAAAAGAATGAGGTTTCTAGTGGCCAGAAATGGAGCGGCTGGGGCATCAAGGAGGGTAACTGCAGTATTGGATCACACGGTTTAAACTCATGAGTCCATAATGAGCTTAGACACAAAACAATGACTCAAAACTGCATTGATCTCCCTGGGAAGATGCTAACAAACCAACACATTATTTTGAAAAATAATAAATAAATAGAAAGAATTAAGTATGATTGATTGATTGATCTTATTTTGCCTGTATGAATATACCACTGGGTGACCAAATATTCAGTGACGGCTGACTGACAGTCGCTACACAAGTATTCGAGTGAATGGACGAAGGTGGCACAGGGGAAACAGAACATCACCACACTGCGTGACTAAGGAGGGGGAGACCCTGGCGCTGCCGGTCAGCGGCGGTCAGCATCATGAAATATGAAACAGCCAGATTCTATATTTATCTCCTGATGGAAGAACACACCATCCCTATAAAACAGTGTCGCCACGTTGAAAGGAAACTACGGCTGACCAAGCCTCCACATCCAACAGTCAAGTTAGAGGAAACCGAGGACCAAGGAGGATGCTAAATGACACCACAGGAGTAAATTCAGCAAACTCCAGACTATGGAAAACTCTACAGGACAAACAACCTGCTTTCTTGGACAAATAAACTGCAAGGAAAAAAAGAGCAAGAATGAGAAAAAGATTGGGGTGCGGGGGACAGGACATATAGATGCGAAAGAGACTTAAGAGACATAGCAACTGTGGACCTTAATGGATCCAGAAGCAAACCTAAACTGTAAACATAAATTAAGGCATTTGTGAGACAGTTGTGAGTTTAATCATTGACTAGATATTTGATGATATTAAGGTATTATTATTTTCAGCATGATACTGATGTAGCCCTTATGTTTTCAACCAAAGTCCTTATCTTTTAGAAAAACACATGATTATATTTAGATAAGAAATCCTATGATGCCTGGGATTTGCTTCAAAATAATGTGGGAGGGAGACAATAGGTGGGGTTATTACAGAGAAAAAATTATTGTGAGTTAATTCTTGAAACTGAGCAGAGGGAACATGGGGCTCGTACTTTTTGCTCCCATTCTGTAGATGATTAAATTTTTCTATTATAAAAAATTTGTAAAAAGAATCTTCCAGATCACCCCATCTCTTACAAAAACAAGCCCAAGCTCCTTATCAAGTGGCTTAATATCTGAAAAAGATGCAGAGCAAAAGAAAGGAGCAGGTAACTATGGTGTGAGGCGGGAGAAGCCCGCGGGCCGTCCGTGCCTGGGGAGTCTCCCGGGACAGAAGCGCCCGCTGCACCCCCCAGGCCCTGGCCGGGCCAGGCCTCATCCTAGAGCACCTTGCTCCTCCCTTCTCTGCCCCCCAAACTCTCTTCATCCTCAGGCTCAGGCTCCCCCTGAGGCTGTTAGCCCCAAGAGGCTTCCTGTCCTGCGGGGCGGGCTCCTGTCTGTTTCACATTCCTCTTTCCCATGTGTGGCCGCTCAGTACCTGCTGGAGGGACTCAGGCACCTGAGGCTCAGAGCTGTGGACCCCAAGGCCGCCAGCTCGTGAGTGGCCGAGCATGGGCTAAATGTCTCATGGAGAGAGGAATGTAAGCCCCCGGCTTCAAAATCTCCAAAACCCCTTCGGCAGTGTGCATCCCACTCCTCCCCTCAACAGTCGGGATTTAAGATCGGTGGTTCCTGGGAAAACAACACGTTAACTTAGAGAAGCTGGAAGTTGTTTCTCCCTCGCCATGCTCCGGCAGGTGGAGAGCACGGAGCCCCAGGGAAGTGGCCGAAGGACAAACATGTTTTCATAGTGAAAAGTGGCCTGGGAGCTGGGCCACGGCCAGGAAAGGAGTCGCCGTGTGAGAGGCACTGGGAGCACCCCGGACGCCCCCAGGCCCCGGAGAAGCTCGGGAAGGAGAGGAGGCCCGAGTGGCCGCCTTCGCGCTCACACCCCAGCACGAGAAACCTGAAAAGGAGCTCTCCTTGCTTTCCAGGCCCTATTGCTGTCCTTGGGCAACCGCCCTCACCTGCACATCTCTGAAATAGTGTTTCCCTCTAGACAAGTGAATCCAGTAGAGATTGTCTTTGAAAGGATCCTCAGGTAGAGAGCACTGGAAGGAAGGGCGCCCTCCTGGAGAGAAAGGAAAAGCCTTCTCCTGTCCTCTGCTACCCAGCAGCAGGGCTGCCAGAAAGGAAGTGTCCTGCCCCCAAACATGACTCCCCCAAACTGCTGTGAGCTGCTTGCCCCCTTGAGCTATGCCAACCTGCGAAGCTTGGGGTGAAACAGACTAGCTATTGTCTTCATTTCCTAGGGTTGTCGTAAAAAGTTACTCCCACAAACTTGGATGGCTTAAAACAACAGAAATGTGTTCTCTCACTGCTCTGGAAGCTAGACATTTGAAATCAAGGTTTGAGCAGGGCCATGTTCCCTGGAAACCCAAAGCCTGGCGGGGAGGAGCTTTCCTAGCTTCTTCCAACCTCTGGTGACCGCGGGCATTCCTTGTCTTCTGCAAGTATTAACTCGAATGTCTGCCTCCGTCTTCAAGCGGCCTTCCTCCCCCACGTCTGTCTTTGTCCAGATTCCCTTCTTGCAAGGACACCGGTCATCCAGCCATGTGGGATTAATACCCACTGTATGTCAGTATGGCCTCATTTTAACTTGATTCCATCTGCCAAGACCAGATCTCTATATGAGGCCACGTTCACAGGCACTGGGGGTTAAGACTTCAACATATCTTCTTTGTAGGGACATAATTAACCCAAACCAGCTATATTTTTTTCACACCCAAGTCGTGCTCAGGAAAGACCCTCCTCCCCCACTGATACAAGAAGTGAAAGTGAATAATGTAATCAATTATAAGTTACTTTCATATTTAAGACAGCAGCTGCTATCACCTCAAGTATTTTTTTGTTTACTTGTTTACTTATTTATTATTAAAAGTCTTGATGGAAGAAAGCTGGTTGAGACTGTTTAAATCAGGTGTTTCTCAACCAGAGTGCTGTGGGCATTTGGAGGGGACAGCACATGGAGACGACATCCCTGGTCCCTGAACACTAAATAACAGTGTACTCTACCGGCATTGTGACAAGCAAGATAAAAGAAAAATAGAGAGAAAAAAAGAAGGAAGGGAGGAAAAGAGGGGGGAGAAAATACCTTCATGTATTTCTAGCCTTAGCAGACTCATTGAAAACCAACAGTCTAAATTAATGCGATTTTTCATGGCCCTCCTAGAGCCCCACACAGAACGGGTTGTGCTAGGCAACAGCAGTTCTGCGTCCTCAGCCAGCCGCTAACTGTGAGAGGCCCGGGCGTTTCTGGAACGTTCTGGTTGGGACATGGCCAGTACATGTGTACTGCTTGGCAGGCATGCAGAAAACTTTAAGGGCACTGCTTCACTTCTTCTTTGCCATGTTTAATACCATATGTTTCCAACACTGTACATGAGGTAGAGTCAGAAAGCGAACCGAAAAAGCGAAAAGTTGCAGAAGGTAAAGAGCCTCTGCCCTTTTCCAGCGCAGCTCAGCTCTGTAGATGTGGGGCCTTCCCTCTGGGCACAGGGGACAGTGACCCACTCCTGGAAAAAGGGTATCTTCTTTTTAGCTTTTTAAATTAAACTTATTGGGGTAACATTGATTAATGACATTTATAGGCTTCAGGCATACAACTCTTACTGGGTATGGGACACAGGAAGTCATAGGAATCTTTCATGGAAAAATGTAGAAATCATGACATTCTAGAAGAGAAGAGTGGATTTCTGTTTGCCAGTGTGTGTGTGTGTGCATGTGCGTGTGTGTGCGTGCGTGTGTGTGCGTGTGTGTGCGTGCGCGTGTGTATGTGTGTGCGCGTGTGTCTGCGTGCGCGTGTGTGCATGTGTGCATGTGCGTGCGTGCGTGTGTGAGTGTGTGTGCGCGCACGCTGCATATATACAGGGCTTGGCAAAAGTAGGTTTACAGTTGTGAGTACACGAAACAGTTTATCCTTGTATCTTTATTTATTAATTATTGCATTACTTATTTGTATTACAACTGTAAGCCTACTTTTGCTTACCCCTGTATGTATATTTGTGGGTGGGATGTGTGTTTCCCTTCTTTCTCACCTGCTTCCTTCCTTGCTAAAATAATCAGAAGAATTTAAAAAGGGGGAGACCAATGACACTTGAAAGAATGTGTTTTTTAGGGAAATTAATATTCAGTGGATTCATACATTTTCTGAAATGTCTAAAATTCATCTCTCCCGTCCCATCAAAAAGCAGGATATTATATGCATTTAATGGTTCTAATCCTATCATCCATGTCTTCTGATTAATAGCTAGCATGTTTGTTAGGTAGAATGTGGGTATTTATTTGGTTCTGTAGCTACCTATTTAATTTTTTTTTTTTAATCATAGCTTTCCTTATAAGTTAGAGTGAAAAATCAATATTTGAAATTCTTCCCCTTGGAAGAAATATAATTTCACTTGTTAGGAGGCTGAATTGCTTAGATAGTTTTGCTTGTAAAAGCGAGAGAAATATCCAAAGAAAAGTGGTCTCTTGTCTAAAGCCTTTATTGATTTCAGTAATTCTTAAAGGAATACAAAAATTTTAAGTTCTGACACTAAAACCAAAGCTGCTTGATAAGAACTGAATTCATGCTGAGATGAAAAGTTACAAAGCTAGAGAACAGCCTCATTATATGTTTTAAAATCCCAGGGAGAGCCATTGTTTTGCCAAAGCTATGTGGTAAGACAGCCTGGGACCCAACATCAGTGCCCAGGAGACTAGGAGTAAAAAGCTTTAGAAGCTTTGAATTTTTAAAACAACACACAATTAAGATTAAAGGAGTTAATCAGGAAATCTGAGGTTATATAAGGGCGAGTGGGTCAACCAGCTCATATATCTGGTTTTGGGCACATGCTTGCAGTGACCAAACTTTTCCATGGAAGATTGTACTTTATGATAATTCTTCCAGAATGAAAGAAGTGACAAG